GTTAGAAAATTTTACTACTAACAGAGATACAAAAGTGGGCAGTAGGTATAAAAAGGTTGACTACCCCTGATTTAAGAAGATGGGGGTGAGACTTTGCATGGATTTCCGTGGAATTAATGCGATGTGTGAGTGAAATAAAATTTCATTATTCGTGTAAAAGGAATGAACCTGACAGATTCCATTTTGAATAAGACTTCATTTTAGCTACAGCCAGAGCATTTTATTTAGCTTAGCATTTCCTTTTAACTGGAAGAAGCACTTTTAAGTTGGTCAATGAGCCCAGATGGGAGACTAGAAATCCCATAGCTCCTAAATTAAGAGGAATTGAGTAAATAAGGGGATGTTGGCATCAGATTCGTTCTCAAGAACTTGATATAAATTGATTAATTATCTTGTTATTGTCATATAATGGATGTTTTCATCATATATTGGGGATTTGAATTGTCTGTAACAGGAACTAAAATCTTGTCAGGCATGGAAACAGATGATGGCGGCTTTTTGGCTTTTAGCTTAACTATTGCAATAATAGTCAAGTAGATAGATGCTTTTTGTTGACTGTAAGCTAGTGCAGCAGGTCTTGAAGAAACTCCTAGCAGCGAAGCTCTATGCAAAGTAGTGCTAGACTGACAACCCCCTTGTACGGACAAACAACTCCAAAGCTTCTTAGGGTTTGTGAATTTTTACAGACAATTCATACCCACTTTTGCTGAGGTGGTCTTACCCCTTACAAACTGCTGAAGACTGGCCCCCACCAATGAATCCACGGCCAAATCAGCCGTTGGTTTGGATGCTAGACTATCAGAAAGTATTTGAAAAATTAAAGCCTTTTTGCGAAAGAACCAATTGTTTAACATCCCGACCCTGAAAGGCAATTGGATATTGCAGTGGCGGCAGTGCTCCTCTAAAGGAACCCTTAGGATCGGCTATTGCCCTGTGATTACATGTCCAAGAAACTGACACTGAGAGGCAATGGGCAATTTGGGAGAAGGAAGCCTTTGCAGTTCATTGGGCACTCCTCTTGTGGAGACATTTCCTAGAGGGAACCCAGGTGCGTTTCAAGGTATGGACTGACCATAAGACCCTCGAAGCCTTGAAAACCCCTTGGAAGCTTTCCCCAAACAAGTTAACTGGGCACAATATTTCTGGTGATTCAACTTCGAACTCAAATNTTTTTTTTGTTTTTTGTTATGCACAGTATATAAGTGATTGTATAAAATGAAAATGAAAATGAAAATGAAAATAAAAGA